TTCAAAACTTTTAAGTAGGTTTCTTTTGTATGCTCTTTATTTTTGAGGTGGGGGGGCAGAGGAGGGGCAGAGAGAAAGAGACAGACAGAGGATCCCAAGCAGGCTCTCTGCGTACACGAGGGGTGTGAGAATTAACTGTGCGGTAACCACCATGAGACAGGCGCCAGAAAACACAGACAAGGTCTTCCCGGTGGAGTCCCTCAGGACCCGCACGTGACAGCCAGTCCAGTGTCCCCCGAGGCACTGGAAGCCTCCCCCTGGTCCATCCCGGAGTGCAGAGAAGCTGTTTCTTAGGCTCTCCCGTGACCCTCTTATGGGCACACCCTTAAAGGAGTTCCATCCCTAAAGGAATCTAACGCGGCCGTCGCCACTTTACAGATTCCCTGCAGGATCCCTGTGCATTCATGGTTCTCAGATTTTTAGTTGTCAGTTCACACAAAGCACTCCTTTCCAGAGCTACTTGCTACCTGCCTCTGAGACCAAGGACCCAAGAGAAGGGCTGGGGTCTGCCCTGGGGCTGGTGGCAGGAGCCACCTCCCCACACAGCCTGGAAGGGGTGAGGGCACCTCCATACGAGCAGGTGGCCCTGCAGGGGTGCCTGGGCAACATGCTCTCCCGAGGGGCATGACACCCTGAGTGACCTCCAGCCTCTGCGCCCAGAGAGATGGATCAGGAGACACCCACACCCACCAGTGTTGCTCAGGAACAGTCCCGAGAGCCCCGCTTTCCCGGGGAAGTCACACTGACCCTGCGACCGGAGCAGGATTTTCACCTACGCAGGCCTTCTCTGCCCCACACCCTATCCTTCTGAGTCTCTCTCCGATTGGATTGGGGGTCATCAATCCAGTAAGGGGCCGGGCCTCTGGACAGCCGGGGTCAGCTGTCCCCGAGTGCACAAGGCTTCCCCATGAGGGCCTGGGGATCCTCACCCAGCACCCCGGGAGGACAACATTGCCTGCACTAACCTCTCTCCCACGACGTTCTAGTGCAGTGGAGACAGGCGGTGACTGCGGGCTGGGGCTGAGGCTAAGGCAGGGAGCATGAACACACCTGCCAGTGTCCCTTGAAGGGAGGGGTTCACCTCTGATCACCTGGGACCTGGGCCAGGCTCCCCTCCAGCCCCTGGATCTGCAGGCTGGCTCCAGGCACATTGATGGTCACATCCTCGACTCAGATGGCCTGGCCAGGAAGACGAGCCATCTCCCATCAGGCCAAGGGCACTGTGCCTCTCTCTGGTTCCTGGGCTCTGGCTGAAGCTCAAGGAGATGCCCTTGGCCTCTGCGGGGCACAGGGCAGGCACTGCACCCTCTGTTGGACCCTCGTCACTGGCACTGAGCCAGGCACGCAGCAGGCACTCAAGAGTTGCTGTCAGATAAACGCACGCCGCACCAAGCTACGGACAGACACAAAACAGGCATGGCTCAGGGAGAAGACTGCAGTGGGTCTGATGCACTTGACTTATCAAGACACAAAGAAGGACCAACGTTCTCTCGGTCCACAGGGCACCGAGAACAAAGAGAGTGTCGTCAAAGAAGCCCGGAGACACCGTCTAGACTGTAGGATGCGATTCAGGCGTAAGGCTCAGTCTCACGGCTCGTGATCTTTGCTGTAACAATCACCCTTCTCCACGCAACGGCCTGTCTTTTCCAAATGAGTCACCAAGCAGTTAAAAATGCCCTTGTTGATTTTTTACCGCAAAATGTCACTTTCCGGATATTGACCAAGTTTCACGACCCTCTAGGGGACAGAATGTTATCAAAGATTTTCTTCGGCCTCTGCAACTCTGGTAAATGTTGGATGAGACGTTATTAAACAGCTTAATTAAGTCATTCAGATAAATTATTTGTTGCCACCAAAATGACAGAATGATGTCCTTCACAGAAGCCGTACCTTCAAACAAGATTCACTCATCTCTATAATAAACTGGAAAGACTCCATGTAAAACCACAGCCACGGGTACTAGACTCTCACGGGGCAAAGGGGTATTTCTTCCAACACGAACCACACTTCATGATTTCATTTTACCGTCCATGAACAAATATGCCCCCAAGTGCTCTCCCTACTGGTGAAGCCATAAAGCTAAATGAAAATCACTTGACTCTGGTTTAAAATATTAACAAAGTGGGGCGCCTGGGTGGCTCAGTCGGTTAAGCGTCTGACTTCGGCTCAGGTCATGATCTCGCAGTTCGTGAGTTCAAGCCCCGTGTCAGGCTCTGTGCTTGATGGCTTAGAGCCTGGAGCCTGTTTCAGATTCTGTGTCTCCCTCTCTCTCTGACCCTCCCCCGTTCATGCTCTGTCTCTGTCTCAAAAATAAAATAAAAACGTTAAAAAAAAAATTAAAAAAAATAAAAATAAAAAAAATAAAATATTAACAAAGAAACCAAATGTCACTGCTTTAAAATTCATGTAACGCAATCAAACAAACAGAAAACCTGACAAGCAGGCGTCTTAAGATGATCCCTAGAGCACGCACTAGCCTGGGAGGACCCACACGGGAGGCACAGACGTCACTGTCACTGGGGTTCGGAGGTGCACTGGGCTCAGGGGCTCCAGATGCAGGAGACATTCCCAGCGACTCCTGACATAGGCCAGGCTGCTGACTCGACGGTGAGCGGCTCACACGGGTCAGGTCTGGGAGCAGGTGGAGGCAGGTGCGGGTATGGAGCTGGGGTGGGGCCGAGGTCACCTGTCCTGTGCTGCTTCTGTGGGCAGTGGTGCATGGCGGGCAGGTGGGCAGCGGTGGGGGCCCACCAAAGCTCCGCCCCTTTATGGTGAAAGCCAGGGGCCAACATGGGGGTGGCAGACAGCCTGTCAGGACCCCAGATCTAGGCCGGGAAACAGAGCTGGCAGAAAGGAACAGCGACTGTCAGGGGCTGGTCCCCACACAGTGAAGTCTCATCTACACGGTTTTAAGGCTTCTAGTGGCAGAGGGGGTGGGGGTGCCAGGACGCTTACGAGAAACTCCAGGACTCTCCAGTCTCCACTGGCTCCAGCTGTGAGTTCGCACAGCACGGACTCCTCACAGCTCCCAAGAGTCTGAGACCAGGCAGGGTGGGGTTCTGCTGGGAGCCCTTTCCTGGCCCCTAGACGGCCACCTTCTCCCTGCCACCTGCGGCAGACAGAAGTCGTGCACTGCTCGCTTGTCCCATAAGGGCACTGGTCCCACCGTGGGGGCCCCAGTCCACACCCTCATCTAAACCCGCCTATCTCCCGAAGGCGCTCCCCTCCCCCCGTGCTATCCTGGCGGGGGCAGGGCTGCAATGTGGACTGGGGAGGGGGGGGTGCCACAAACACAGAGTCCACAACATTGCCCCGACTGTGCAGACGTGGGCCGGCTCAGGCGAGGACCGGCCACAGGGAAGACACAGACCCTGACAGGGTCAGCGTGGGAGGACCTCCATGGCCTGACCAGGGGCGTCTGCACCCCCAGGGATGCTGCTGAGAGTTCCCGATCCTTCCTGGCAGAGTAATGACTTCCTCTGGTTCATCACTGCCACCTACTCCATCACCTTCACCTGATGATATGACACTAAGCTCCCCAAGGGCTTTCCAGCTTCAGGATCTGGACGCAGCAGGGCTCAAAGGTGACAGCTGAAGTTTGGGCACGGGAGGGGTCAGAAATGCCCCCAGAGTGTTGTGACTGAAGGCTCCTCTACCCCAGGGACAGCCCCTGGCTCAATTCTCTGTGTCCTCCTCTGAGTGGAGAAACCGGCTGCCTCCCCCACACCCGTGGGGTAACCAGCCTGCAGCTCGCATGTCTCCAGAGGAACCCCACCGGGCAGGCGACAGAATGACACCCCCAGGAGCCTGCAACCTCATCAGCGTGCCTACTGCCCCCCAGCTGTCTGTCCCGGGGTCCTGCATGCAGCCACAGGGGCTGTCCCGCCAGGCAGGGGTCTTGTGCACCAGGCGGGCGCCCCCCACACCATGGTGGGTGGGACGCCTGTGAAGCAGACGGCACCCAGCCCACATCACGGCACTCGCTCTCCAGAGCTGGGTGCAGGGACGCTGCACCTGACACTCCTGCCCCCGAGCATCTGGAAAGGGTCGCTGGAAAAGGAAGGTGAAGGCAGGCTGCCAGGATGTTGGAAGAACAGTGTGGAACAGAGTAGCCACAGTACCTCGGGCAGGACGGGTTTCCCTTCTGCACGGCTGTTCAAACCTCTGACTCGGGGACAGGTAGAGGCTGCTTCGGACTGCCTCGCTGTCCCGAAGGGAAAATCGGCTCTCTTCTCTTCCCACGCTGGCCACGCTGTGCTCAGCCAATGAGGCGATGTGATGGGGCCTCCTGTTTATAAGGACTTCGGAAGAGTCCGGCTGGACAGGATCCAGCTGCTCCCTCTGACTTCGTGTGAAAGGAGCTGGATCACCAAGCATCCCTTCCCCTCGAGGCAAGTGGGGAGAAGGGGCCCAAACGCCTTTGACTTTGACCGTAGGCAGCGACGCCCTCACCGTCTGGGACCGAGAGGCTGTGTGTGCGGCATCTCTAGCCTTCGGGGTGACCGCGGTGTCGGTGCCCACGCCACGGGGCTCCGAGAGCGAAGGTCAGAACCTGGGGGGGGATGGGCTGCGTCCCCCTGGGCCGGTTCCAACACGAGGAGCGTGGACTTCCCACCAGTACAGCAGAGTGTGAAGCATCCTTCCTGTGTCTGCTGGGCCAGCTAGCCGGAGGGAAACGGGCGACAGAGACACAGACACCAGTGCAGACACTCTGATCCCGAGGAAAACAGCAGAAGGCAAAATTTCCGAGTTTCCGGATTCTGCTGAGAGTTGGACAGCCCGTGGGGGTGGAGGCCTGCTTTCTTGCCAACCGCGGCGGGAGCCAGAAAAAATTTTCCCGGTCTTATTTTAGGATGGGTGACGCTGTAAACAAGCTGGGTGACCAATCCACAGACAGCCTGTCTAGACCCTTATTTGAAGCAGAAGGTCACCAGTGGGGCAGACGTCCCAGATGTCCTGGAGGCATGTGACAAGGAGCCGCAGCCCCGCCAGCCGGCCAGCGCTGACTCTGGGACAGGGACACTTACCTCACCTCCTGAGTGTTGATGGCGGGACCGCGCAACCCACCCTGGAGGCGCAAGGTCAGGACTCAGGAGCTGGTGAGGGAGCCTGAGACCTGAGAGGGCAGACCTTGCGTGGTGGTGGCACGGGGTGGGTGGGTGTGCAGAGCACGGGGGGGGGGGGGGGTGGCTATCACGCTTGAGGGCAGCAAAGGTAGGACAGTGCAGACAGAATGAAAGAGCGTGATTCTAGGAGGCAAAGAAACTTCTGGAATACACTTGGTGCAAAGAAAGATTATCAAGATCCCAGGAGACACTTGGTGTAATGGCTGAAATCAGAAGTTCTGCATCCTGATGTCAGCTCCAAGCCAGCCTCACTGCTCACACTGGGGGTTCATGCCCAGCCCCACCACACACACTGGGGTCCCGCCCAGCCCCAACAGTTAAAGCTGGGTTTTAGTTTCCCAACTGAAACGGAGAACATTTGTACCTGACTCTTAGGGGTGTTCTGAGGAGTAAGCAAACAAATAAACATGGAAACTACTTAGAACAACAGCTGGCATACAGGGATCACTCCGTGAACGTTAGAGGTTACTGTCATCATGATATTTACATCCCCCCCCAACACACACACACCCACACACATACACACATTGTAGCATCACTGGGTCTCCCTCCCAGGCCTGCAACCCACTGCGGCCCAGGCCATGCCAACCTGGACGGGCGGAGCCACCAGCCTGTTTCTCTGACAAGCTGACCACTGACGATGCGACGCTGGGTAAGTTACTGAAGCTCTCTGTTAACTGGGTAAGTTACTGAAGCTTCCTCTCAGAGGTCAATGGCTGTATAATATCCAGCTCACGGTGCTACTTTTAAGGCAGAAACCTGTTAGTTTAAAAAGGTGGCTGTCGGGGCGCCTGGGTGGCGCAGTCGGTTAAGCGTCCGACTTCAGCCAGGTCACGATCTTGCGGTCCGTGAGTTCGAGCCCCGCGTCAGGCTCTGGGCTGATGGCTCGGAGCCTGGAGCCTGTTTCCGATTCTGTGTCTCCCTCTCTCTCTGCCCCTCCCCCATTCATGCTCTGTCTCTCTCTGTCCCAAAAATAAATAAACGTTGAAAAAAAAAAAGGTGGCTGTCATCTCCTGGGTCAAAGTTTTTCTGCCTTGCACAGATCATATTCCAGATCAGGAATATACTACGGAAAGCCTTCAACTACGCTCAAGTTCAGGTGCCTGAGGAACGCCTCACTTATCCAGAGTTCCTGGCCAGTGAAGGTGGTGTGGCAGGGGAATTCTTTTCAGGAAACTAAATAAAACTCGTTTTTTAGCACCAAGTTGTTTTCTTAATCACTTTTATGAGGCTCCTTCCGAAACAGGTAGATACATCTCTGACTTAACAAATGAACTCGGGCCAATGAATCAGAAAGCTTTATAAGGCAAAAATATAGTAGCAAGAGGAAAAGAATGAAAAGATCCCACAATTACCCTACCCTCCCTTCTGAAAACGATGAGCCAGCACATCTGTCCTCACCCCGCAGCCCGGTGGCCTGCCACTCGAACCCGGGACCGCACGCTCACCTGTTTTGCAGCCGCCTGGCTGGGAGGTAAGGAGCCCCTCGTCAGCAGTGGGGGGCTCCCGGGGCCGCAGAGCTCGGGGAAAGGGTTGGGGATGGCCGGCAGAGACGATGTCCTGAACTGTTCACCTTCTTCCTGCAGGCGTCTGGGAGGAGAGACACAACCGCTCATTAAAAGCTGCCATCCCCCGACACGACCCAGCCGTCCCACGTCCGGGGGTGTCCCCAAGGAAACTAAAGATGGACTCACTCCTGTGTTCCCAGCGGGACTGGTCACATCAGTCCCCTGGGGGGTCCACCAATGTGGGAACGGATAAACAAAACATGGTCTATCCACATGAGGGGACACTACTGAGCCCGACCGAGGAAGGGAATTCTGACGCACGGTGACAACCAGGATGAACCCTGAGGACACTGTGCTGGGTGAAATCAGCCAGTCACAAAAGGGCGGATCTTGTACAATCCTACTTCTGTGAGGTACCTAGGGTCTCCAGGCCCCTAGCTAGTACAATGGAAAATGCCAGCGACTGGTGGGAGGGGAACAGGGAGTCACGGTTTCACGGGGACAGAGCGTCGCTTCTGCAGGATGAGCAAGTTCTAGAGATACAACGGAAGCATAGGCACCGCCACGAGATGGCGCACTTAAAAACGGCTGCGTGCATTGTACCACAACCCAGAGTTTTGTTTTCTGTTTTTTTCCCCCATTCTCAGACTCAAAGGGTACAGATTCCCTCACCCATTAAACAGCTGGGGAGGACGTTTAATGCTCCAAGGGGCGCCTGCGGGGCTCAGTTCGCCAAGCATCCAACCTCGGCTCAGGTCATGGTCTCACGGTCTGTGAGTTTGATCCCCGTGTCGGGATCGCTGTTGTCAGCACAGTACCCGCTTTGGATCCCCTGTCCCTGTCTGTCTGCCCCTCCCCCACTAACACTCTCTTTGTGTCTCTCTTAAAATAAATAAACTTTAAAAAAACAAAACAAAACAAAACCACGCTCTGTGTATGACACATCCTAGACGTCTTCTCCAAGCACCTCATGGATTCTGTTCCCTGAACACTGATGTGTGAAGACGTTCTGCGAGTAAGAGCGCTTTCACGAGAACAGCTACGTTCGATGGCCTTGAAGCCAGCACTCGTCCAGACACGTGAAAACGTGAGAAGAGGCTCCCCCGTGTCCTCGTCTGGGCTGTGGGATGAGTGCTTGCTTACACAAAAAAGGCTGTTGGCACCGAATCGGAAATAAAGGCCGCGAGCAGCCGTCCTCCCCAGGACACAGAAGCCCGTCTTTCCGTCACAGCCACTGCGGAGTGAGGACCAGGCGGCCTACTTGTTGGCATTTCCTCCCAAGAACGCAAAACCCACTCGTCATAGGGCAAAGCCAAACACACCCAGGGTGACGAATCAGATGCAGTTATGAAAACAGAAGAATAAAGTTCAAAGTCGAAGGACAAAGGGCTGCAAAGTGCCCCCTCTGTTTCCTTTCCCGGGGTCCTGTGAGGGCTTCCTGTCCACACTGCCGGGGCTCCCCCGGGGTCCTCCCGTCCACACTGCCGGGGCTCCCCCCGGGGCCCTGCCGGGGCTTCCTGTCCACACTGCCAGGGCTTCCCTGGGAGCGGAGCCCCTGTCCTCTGGAGGGCAACACTGCCCACTGTCCAGACACCCACCTGAGCAGCGGCATGAGCCCTGCTGCCGCTCAGTATCCCTGGTCCTCGGTGACATAAGCCCCAAGAAGCCCCTGTAGGTGGAGTCTTCCAAGAATTTTTTGGACTCCTTTTACAGTGTGACGAAATTAACGATCCATTCGCTTTCTTGGGAGTTTGGCCACTAGAGAACTGCAGCGATCACTTTACAGGTTCTCTGTTTACCAAGCGATCCTGATGCGTGAGGGGCCCGCCCCGCCATTCCACGGGGACCAGGATGCACCCATCTACGGCGTGCGCGCTCCTGGGGCGGGAATGGGGTCAGTGCCGGGGGGGGGTGCCGCAGCCCCTCTGAGGCGCCCCCATAACATCCCAGAAAGCGGATGTGCGCTGTCAGGGAATCCCACTCTTCCCACACCAGCCTCTGTCACGGCCAAGTGCCTGGCTCACTCGCTGTCCCTTGTCCTATGGAGCAAGAGAGGAGGAGGAGAGCCCCGACGACCACTGACCGGTGACTCTCCTGAAGCACAAGGATAAAAGTCTGTTCCGACTCACATACAAGATGCCAATGTTCTGATGCTCTAAAGTTCCCAGAAACTTCTCTGAACAGGGTTGTTCTGAAAACCTTTAAAAGCGGTGTGTTCGGGGTGGGGGGGGGGGAACGACCTGGGTGGCTCAGTCAGTTAAGCTCTGACTTCAGCTTAGGTCATGATCTCACGGTTCGTGAGTTCGAGCCCCAGTTCAGGTGAGCCTCGCTTCTCTCTGCCCCTCATGGGATATTCTCTCTCTCTCTCTCTCTCTGCCCTTCACTCACTTTCACCTCTCTTTCTCTCTCAAAATGAATGAATGAATGAATGAATGAAAGCTGTGTTTTTTAGGGCAGTGTATGGTACTGTACCATTATACATTATACATTTGTCCAAACCACACAATGTCCAACACCAAGAGCGAACCCTCAGGTAAACCACGGACTTTGGCTGATGACGATGTGTCCACGCAGGCTCGCCAACTGTGACAAAGGTACCACCTGGTGGGGAATGTGGGTAATGCAGGAAGCTGTGCATGTGTGGGCAAGGGGGTGGGTACATGGGAGACATTTAGAAATTTCTCTCAATTTTGCTATGAACCTAAAACTGATCTTTCAAAAATTAGTCTTTATTAAAAAACAAAACAAAACAAAACAAAACAAAACAAAACAAAACAAAAACAGACAACATGCTAAGTCAGCAAGGCTGGACACACAAGGGGGTCACACCCTGTAGGATTCCCTTTTGATGAAGCAGCCAGAACAGGTGAATCCGTAGCAACAGAAAGCATGCGAACTGGTGGTTGCCAGGGGCTGTGGGAAGGGGTATGGAGACACTGTTTAATGGGTACGGGTTTCCTCTTGTGCAGGGAGAACATTCCAGAACTAAGTAGAGGTGGTGGCAGCTCAATGCTGGGGAGTCTACTAAATGTGCCTGAATTGTACACTTTAATTTTTTAATGTTTATTTATTTATTTTTGAGAGAGAGTACAAGTGGGGGGGGAGAGGGGGAGAGGGAGAGGGGGGAAGGAGAGAGAGAGAGAATATCCCAAGCAGGCTCTTTGCGGTCGGTCAGCACAGAGCCCGATGTGGGGCTCGAACTCACAAACTGTGAGATCATGACCTGAGCTGAAATCAAGGGTCGGACGCTTAACCGACTGAGCCACTCAGGTGTCCCTGAACTGGACACTTGAAGTGATTAATTTTATGTGATGTGAATTTCACGTCAATACGTTATTCTTAAAAATTAAAAGGACGAGAAAAGTCCCACGTTGGCTTCCCGGCAGTGCACAAGCATTGGCCACAGCAAAACGAGGGACACTACACGAGGCCGGAGAACGTCCCAGCTCCAGGGGCTGCATTCCTGCCCAGTTATGGAGCGAGACGCGGAAAGGGGGCGAAGATGCAGGGATGCTGGGGGTCGGGGACGAGAACGGCCGGGCCTGGGCTCTGCTGCCTGCCTGGGCTAGAACGTGCCCCCTGCTTTCCCTGCTGTCCGCCCCCTCAGGATCAGCCAGCCCAGCCGCAGCCTCTTCCAGGAAGCCCACTTCTCCTTCCCCAGTGTCTGCTCTGCACCTGCCTCTGTCTGTGCCCCACACCCCACTCTGCGGGTCTCAGACACAGCGCCACACCCAGTGGGTTCTGAGCCGGTCAGGACCCCTCCACCTGGGTTTGCATCCGGACTCCCTACTCACCAGGTGTGGGCCTGTCACGTCCCCCAGTGCCTCAGTTTCCTCACCTGGGCAATGAGGCCCACGACATCACCCGCCTCCTAGGGCTGTGGTGGCCACTGTATCAGCTAATAAGTGAGGACTCGAGAGAGACCATACACAGGAAGTGCTCAACATAAAGCCTCACTTACAAAAGAAATCTTTGGGTATCCCGTATTGGTCACCCCATTTTTTAAACACATCCAAAAGTAAGACGCCCTGTGGCACACGCCTGCCCTGTGCACCCCCGTGGGACCTAACACAGGCAACCCCAGGGCATAGGGCTGAGTTCGGCCCAAACTTTAGCTCAAGGGCCCTGGGCAACGAACAGGCCCAGGTCTGCCTGTGCCATCCTCTGCGCTGACTCAGCTCTGGGCACCGTCACTGTTGGGGCTGTGACCCCGTCTTCCCAGGGCCTCCCACCCTTCCAGGGACGGGTGACTGAGAGACCCCAGACCCCAGCCACATGGAGAAAAGTCTCCCTCCAGACTGAGCTCCACAGGGGCCAAGAGAACAGGACTGATGCTCAAGAAAGCACAGGCAGGTATAAACACCAGGACGACGGAGGGGAGGAAAGGCAGGAAGCCGAGAGGCGGCCGACCGCAGGCCGCAGAGCTGCTACACCCCCCCTGCAGACAGCTCTGAGTTCCCCAAGACACAACAGGCTACCTTGGCAAGAGAGTTACCCAACTGCAGAAGACCTGGGATGTCAGACCAGAAAGAGCCTCACAGAAGTTTCTGGAAGCAGAGAGGACCACCTTGCCCTATCCCCATCCCAAGGAAAGGAAGCGAGATCCCCAGGAGATGCAGTGCTGAGGAACCACCAGCCCGAAGAACCCCAGCCTGACCGAGGCCCAAGATGGAGGGCCCCGCACAACCTTGCGCTAGAAAGTGCAGGGAGGCAGGGAGGCTGGCCTCGGTCCCTCGCCCGCTCCCATCCCTCCACCGTCACCTGAAAACCTCCAGAGCCAACAGCGACCGGGCGGCGGCCACGCCGGTCCACCCACCTCCCGGGCCCCCGGAGACGGGGTGGAGACACCCTCAGTGCCCTGCCCCTCCCCCTCCCAAATCCGGGTGTGACAGCTCCCATCCACCCCCCTCTTCATCGGGGTCAGGACACCACCGTCTCTAGGCTGGTCCTCGAAACGGCCTCCAAATGAGCCGTGGTCTAGCCCACCACCCCGACACCCGGCTGCCAGAATTATTTGCCAGAACCGCAACCCCATCTCCTCGCTCGCCTGTTCAAATCCTTTCCCCGTCTCTCCCCTTGAAGGGCTCAGAGACGCCTCCGGGATCTGGCCCGCACCTGCCGGGATCGTCTTGCGCGCAAAGCACCCCGTGGAGGCGTGACAGACGCGCAAAACGCTGTACGTGTTTGACGTGAACGACCGGGTGTGTCGTAAGTAGACACGCGATCTGTCGCCAGTCCGGCTTGTCATCACCCACAGCCTGCAACCGCTCCCTCCGCCTTTATCGCTACCGCGGAAGCTCTTCCCTCCTAGGACTGACTCGTCTCGTAAAACCAACACTCTGAACGCTCAGTCCCGTATCTCCTGATTCCCTCCCCGTGGCCCTGGCATCCAGCACTCCTACCCTCTGCGTCTAGAAGTTCGGCCACCTTAGAGGCGACACGTGAGTGCGACCAGGTGGCACCGTCCTTCTGTGACAGGCTCATTCACTTACAGTGCTGTCCACGTTGGCATCAACGGACGGCTCGGTGAGGAAAACGCAGAACACGCAACGCCGTGTCGTGCGGCCATACAAAAAGGGAGGAAGTTTTGCCCCTCGGGACAACGAGAATCCTCTCTTCTGCTCACGAAATCTCTTCTCCCTGCCCGCCGCCCACCGACTCCCACTCACCCTTCAACACCCAAATCCGAGATCTGCCGCCTCCAAGGAAGCCCAACACCCCCCCCCCCCCGGCTTCCCAGGGGCCCCGGCCCCCCAGCCCTGGTATTTCCAGGAATACAAATGGAATGCGTCCACGGGTCTGAGGTGGCACATGTCTGACAGCCCCCCGGGACACCACTGCCCCAGGTCCCCCCACCCCACCCCACTCTGGGCACGGGCTGCACAGAGACAAGGAACGTGTCTACGCAGCAGGGGGCGCTATTGTGTCCATGCGACGGCCCTCCCTTGCTCTCGGAGAGGAGGCCCTCCAGGCCCCGGGGCCCACCTGACAGCGAGGATGTGCACAGGCTGTGAGCGCTGCACCTGCAGTCGCGGGGACGCCTGCGGCTGGAGGGACCTTGTTCCTGAGGGTGGCGGCTGGCTGCGGGCGTGCTGGCCATTCTGGAGCAGGGGTACCGTCTCTGACTGCATGCTACAGGCCGGGTACAGACTCTCCAGGGATGCGCTCACATCGTTCACCAGGGCTTCCAGGTCTACGTCATCCTCTGGGCGTTAAAGGCAAAAGCGGGGGAGAAAAAAACAAAACAAAAACAGAACAGAACAAGACAAAACTTTAGCAGCAGTGAGGGGCCACGGCCACACGGGCATCTTAGGGCTCAGGTTCCAAAACTCACAATATTTTAAACTATTAGGTGAAGGCAGAGGAGCATAACTGAGGATATACATCCCGTAAGGAATCGTATGTGTTCCATCTACTGATGTTTGCTGATATTCCAGAAGCTACTTGGTAACTACGGTCCAGCCGCATTCCCAGCGGCTGCACACACCCTTCGGAGCACCTGCCTAGCTCACACCCCCTTTGGGGTGGACGGGCCACACGCAGTCACAGCTGCGCAGCCTCAGGTGGCCAGACCACAGGTGGACATCGAGCTCTACTTAGGCAAGTCAGGCCTTCTCCCTTCCCTGAAATTCTAGCAGTGAAAGAGAGACCCAGGAACAGAACAGCACCCAGCACAGACAGCAGCCTGGGCCAGCTAAGAGCTCCAGGAGGGCCCAAGCCACGCAGACCGGCTCACGGGTGGCTGAGGATCAATCATGCACCTGCAGACCTCCAGGTGCCCTCGACTGGCCTGGGAGCCTGAGGAAGCCTGTCCTCACAGAAGGCCCGAGGCAGACGCAGAGAGAGAGAAGCACAGGGAATGCCGGAAGGAAGGTCAGAAAATAGCAGAGGCACACACAGAGACTTCGATGGGAAATTCTTCGTGTCGACTTGGCTCGGTCGCCGGTATTTGGTCACACTTGATTCTAGATGTTTCCGTGCAGGAATTTTTTAGATGAGATTACCATTTAAGTCAGTAGACTCTGAGCAAAGCAGATTGCCCTCCATAATGTGGGTGGGCCTCATCCAATCAGGTGAAGGTCCTGAAGAGAAAAAGACCACAGTCCCCAAAGGAGGGAAGAATTCTGCCTCCGGACTCAAACTGCAACTCCTCTCTGGGCCCCCAGCCTCCCGGTCGACCCCACAGATTCTGGACGTCCAACTACACAATTGTGGGAGCCAACTCCTTAACCTGCACCTCCTTCCCCATACACGTATAAATGCACATGTTAATGGTTCTGTTTCTCTGAAGAACCCTGACTGCACACGATGAGGGGATAACCCGGCACGCCCAGGAGAGCCCAGGGCAGGAGGTAGAGACAGAAACCTGGGGACACAGGCCAGGCTCTGAGCAGCCCAGCGTGCCTCAGTGCGCCTTCCTGCTAAGGCCCGCCCGTACTCTGGCCGCGAGCTCCATAAAGCATCCTGCATCCCTGGTCATCGTGGGCTGGGGCTACCGAGTTAGCTTCTCCTGTTTGTAACCCACTGGAAACTGACAGCACAGCCCACCTTCTCTGCGTTTTCTGCTCGGTCACTTCGAACGTGGCACGTGTGAATGTGCTCCCCCACTGGGGCACTCCGCGAGTCCCCCTAACTCACAGGCCCACTTGGTCCCATAAGCGACACCTGCTCAGCCTGAGGGGCTGGGGCCCAAGACAGCAACACCCTCGCCAAGCCGGGACCACAAGCTCCCCCGACAGGAAGGCCCCTGTGAACCCGCCGCCCCAGCCCGCCTCCTACGGGCCCCCCACCCGCGGCACCAGGCCCGGCTTTCTGTTTCTCAGCCTCTACAACCCGACCCGGGGTCCGCGGGGGTGGGTGAGGACAGGAGGCTGGTCATCACCCCGCCCTGCGGCAGAGCCGGGCACAGATCCATCTCATCTATTCCCCGTGCCACCACAGACGCCGTGACTGCCACCCGGTCCCACGGCTGAGGAACAGACCCCGGGGGAAGCAAGGACCTTGCCCAGGGGCACGCCAGTGCGACGAGGCGGACCTTCGACCTGAAAACACTTCCTGCAGCTACCAGGCTGGCCTCACCAGGTGTGCGCTCAATGCATGAGCTCACGGACCTTTCTGGGACCTGCCCTCCCTGCCTGTCCAGTCCTCGTGTAAACATCTCGGGTCCCTTTGCTTCAGCTTCTCCATCTCATTAGGCAAAAGGGCACAAGAAACGGAGCAAAGCAAGACAGCGAGAAAAAAGGAAGGCACGCGGGCCAAAGGGGCAGAGAACGCGGGAACCCCGTGGTTGCAAGCGGGGGGTGGGGAGGAGAGCACTTTTGGGAAGATTTAGGTAGAAGCAGAAAGAAAGGTCACAGACATCCCCCATCCCGTTCTGTACCTTGCAGGCAATGGTGCCAGGGAGAGGGGTCTGGGGAAGGCCTGGACGGGGTGATTATACACAGCAGGCTTTAGATGGATCACACTGGGCCCTGAGCAGGATGGACACACGGACTGACGGGAGAGCATCGGATGCTTCTGAAACAGCAGGAATGCGGTTTCGCTGCTGGAACCGAGAACACCGAGAGCTGTCTGAGCAGAGCGGACACGGACCGAAATCCCGACCAGAAACTTGTGAGCGGGGCCTCGCGTCCCCAGGGCCCGCGCGGGAAGGCAGGAGACGCTGCCAGCGCTTGGCCTGTGCACAGTCAAATATTAATCCCGCGGCCAGATATCAGAAGGACAACAGGGCTGAATTAGTAATTCATGACTGCCGTGTAATCAATAAGTAATCTATCACAAAGGAGAACGCCAGAGTCAGCAGGCAGAGCTCTTGCTTAGGGTTCAGAGGGCAGGCAGCTACGTGGGAGAAGTGGGAAAATCCAGACCCCGGGAGGGAGAGGTATGCACACAGCCTTGTCCCCTTGTCCCTTGTCCGGAGGCCACATCTGTAAACTGAGGAAGCAGAACTCGGCAAGCACAAAACCAACAGACGGCGGCCCGAAGAGAGCCAGCCACTTGGGTATTTACTGAGACCTCACGGTATCTGCCTTCTCAGAAAAGGTACAAGTCACACTAGGGCTCATGAGTCCGGGGCTTCAGGAAGGTTCTAGAATGCATCCTGCACTCACATTTAGCTTCCATGTAATAGTTGCCGATTGAGCTCTGGAACACGATTAAGCCTAGGCCACCCTAACTCATCCTACAAACAACTCAGTATTTCTCTCTTAACGACCATTTAAGAATCAATATGGGGTGAAACACTGAGCTCACAGTAGCTATCCATCCAGCCTTCGGGAATGCCTGGGGGTGGGGGGTGGGGTAGGGGCAGGGAGGGAGAGGCTGGATGCCATGGGCAGGCCGGGGGAGGGCCATCACGGGCCGCTGGGGTGTCACCTGGCTGTCAGTCACATGTGCCCCCAACCAGGAGACCCAGCAGAATACAGTGGCCACCACGGTCACTTCCGTCCCCCCTGAGGAGTCAGGCAGAAAGAGAGGCTCACTGTTAGAGTTCTTTTTTTTGTTGTTTTTTAATGTCTATTCATTATGAGAGAAAGAAAGAGTGAGAGCAGGCTAACAATTGAGGGAGGGGCAGAGAGAGAGAAAGAGAGAGAGAGAGAGAGAGAGAGAGAGAGAGAGAGAGAGAGAGAATCCCAAGCAGGCTCCACGCAGTGAGCACAGAGCCCAACTTGGGACTCAATATCACAAACTGTTAAGATCCTGACCTGAGCTGAAATCAAGAATTGGACGCTTCACTGACTGAGCCACCCCAGCGCCCCAAAACCAAACCTTTTAAAGAATCTGAAGTATCCTAGCCCGGGACAAACTTTAAAATTCCTGTCGCTCAATTAGCATTTCGCCTGTCCAGACAACAGACTCACTTAGGGTTCTGGGATTTTACCTACACTCTGTTAAATCTAGTGCAGGCTAAAAATGGAATCTTCCAAGCAGGCGTCACAAAGTATTGATCTGAAGGAAGACACTCACCATCGTGTTCCTTGAAAACTTACTGAACTACGGTATAGGAATCCACTAAGGCATTACTGACGTGACACTCAGTTCTCGCAAAAACGCTTGGAATGGCTCACATTCTGTGAGCACGTCCCGTGTCATGCGGGATGGCTACCCACCTTTCCTGTCCCTGTGGTCCCTACATGAACCCACCACACAGATCAACCACCCGCCCCGTGAAAGCCCTTCTGCAGAGAAGCAAACACATAGGGCGAGCACAAGACAGATGCTTCTGGAAATGAGTGCTAAGATTAAGTATCTATTTGGTGCGAACTTGATGCCAAAATACTTTCCGTGAGACCGCACCGCCCCTGGAAGGCACATGAAGGGGAAGGTAAAACAATTTTACACACTCCGTCTCACATCACGCGGATTCAGGAGGATGTATTTACCGCACAAATACAGGTCAGACAACACGGTTGTAAATCAAGTTATTAATAGACGCTTTGCTTCCGCAAATAACCCAGTCCCAAACTGGACACTGACTTTTGTCCCAAATATCTGGGCAGCTCATCTGATCTCAAACCCACATGCGTGCCTGGCCTCACTGCCATCAATCAGCACGCGGAGGAAGCTTTCCTTCTAAAACAGATACAAAGTCGGTGAACCAAATTCGTGTTTGGCTCATAGATAATTCGGGGCACACGTCCTCCGTAAGCCAACCAGGAGGCGGCCAGGCGCTCACCAGCTGACTGTGGGCACAGAGGAGAGCGCCAGCTACAGGCGAGGCTCGGCCTTCTAGCCCCAGGAGCCTCCCTCCCTGTACGCCCTGCTGGGTCCACAGCGCCATCTAGTGGCCTCCTTCACTGGCTAGGAAACAGGACATTCATTGAATCCGATTCACTGGCACCTTAAAGAAACGCTACGTGCCGGGGTTTTCAAGATACACGTGTATACTGTCCATTCTTCCCGGACCCACGTGAGCACCTGTTAACATGCAATGTCTGTCTGTTTCCTCCCGTCTTTGTCTAGAAAGTGGGCTGGTAAGTAAGGCAGGGCGGGGCAGGCTTGCTTAAGATGCTAAATCCCTAAAGAGTGATAGGTGATTTTAAGTAAAAGGAAGAAAAAGAAAATCAATGGGTGAGGCTGTGACAGAAGAGGAAACAGAGATCTTGGCCTCCCTTAGGGATCCTGGCACCGGGCTCCTGAGATCCTTATAATTTTCTAAACCATAAAAGCAATGGGGGCATCTTTTGTTCTGATGTCTGGTCTTTG